TCTTATCCCTGAGGAAGGTTTATTTTTAAAACACATCCTTTACTTCACATTCCTGCAATGCTGTTAAATGTCACCTTAGCAGCGTATCCTTCCAAAACCATGCCTTCATCCCTTCTCCAGGGCTCCTTGGGGCTCCCTTCCCACTTGCTTCAGCTAAGAGCTGAGAGAGGTTACCCATAAGACCCTGAAGGAGTGCAGCTTTGATAAATATATCAGCTCTAACAGTTGGGATTGGGGCTGCTTCTCAAATGAGTGGCAAATCTGTCATAAAGTACTTATGGTGGATCTGGCAGTGACCTTGAGGGTAAGTCCTGGGTATCTATTAACTGGACTGCTTTTCAGAGGGATGGCATCATTTTTTTAAAAATGCAATAAAGTTCTTTTTAAAAAAAATGGTTGGCAAAAAATCTTCTGTCCTGCTTTGCTGAGTTGCTGAAGACACATAGCAAAGACTTCCATATGCAGCTACTTATATTCAGGTGCTCAGCACCTCAAAACCAGTTATGGCCACTTTAGCAAATACTTTGGGCTCTGTTCCAGATTTTTAAAATATGTGTCTCCATGCCTTTGCTTTTATTCTCTTCTCCTTTTCCTCCCTACCCCCTTTGCTTCTCTTGACTATTTTGTTCTATTCGAAATAAAAATGAAATATATTGAGTGCATAAATATTTGTCTCAAAGGGCATTCCCCACCTGCATATTCCACTCTCACCCTGCAGAGATTCTCTCATGCAAATCCGATTAGTGCTAATGGGATCAGGATGCACAAGACTCCATGGGTCCATATGGGAGTAGATGCCCTCCTGCCCCTTCTCTTCCCGCTCTCCCTCAAACCTCATGACTATGTATTTCTCTTGGGATGAGAATGAGCTAGTTGGCATCATTTTGCTGGTGGACTTCAAAACCAGGTAAGAAGGATTCCTATCTAGGGTTGAATAAATACTGCCTGCTGCGGTCTCTGGAATTCAAGTAGGATTAGGCTGGCTACACACATAGGCAGAGTAGGTAGCAATATAGTTAATATAGTCTAAGGGACCCTGTTAAGGTCATTCTGTCAAAAAAAAGTCTCTCCCAGCGGGCTGTTGAAACCTGAAATTTGACTGTTAATGGCTCATTTCTTCAGATTAAGTCCTATTGACTCTTAAAATGCCAGTATTCCTGGGAGGAGGGCAGCTATCTTATTTGTTCTTGAATTTTCCCAAGTAACTAGCACCGTGAATTGCACATAGTAGGGTCATTGATCATAGAACGTTAGAGCTAAAAAGAACCTGTGAGACCTTCGAGCAACACTCTTCACTTAAGACCCAGAGCAGTGACCTGTCTTGTCCGAGATCACACAGGTAGGAGGTGGCTGAACCAGTATTCAAATTTACATTCTCTGACTCCAAATCCAGTGCTTATTCAACTGAGGTGTGAGAGCTCTGGATACCAATGGGTGAGGTTTTAAAATGGGAGATAAACAACTTAGAAAGTTGAGCGGCACCAAAGACAAACCTCACTCATTTCTTTGTTTTGTCCATGGTGAGGGCTGGGATAAGAGCCAATGGGTGGCTTTCATGAACTGCACAATGGTCAGTCAATAAGCATTCATTAAAGGCCTACTATGTGGCCCTCTGTGCTAAATGCTGGGGATACAAAGAAAGGAAAAAGACAGTTCCTGCCCTCAAGGAACTCGCAATCCAATGAGGGGGACAATATGCAAACAACTTGGTACAAACAAGTTAATGTACAAGAAAAATCAGAAATAATCAGCAGAGGGTAGGCACATATAATGAAGAGAGATTGGGAGGGACTTCCTGTAGATGGTGGAATTTTAGCAAAAAAGCAAAACAAAGTGTAGGAGATCAGTAGGGAAAGAGAAGAAATCCAAGGGGACAAGCCATGCATTTATTTATGAGAGACATTTAGAATTTAAGGCTATACCTATTCAAACTCAGATTGGAAACAGACATAGTACCCAGCACATGTCTTTCCAACTGCAGATTTCCTAAATCCAAATGCTAAGAGAGTCATAAACAAAAAGCCCAGGACTCTGGCCCGATGATTCATTCTGCCCAACAGGGTTCCTTCTGTCCTTGTATGCTGACATTCTACCTCCAATGAATCCTGAAAGTCAAGCCCATCATATAACATACCCAGAAAAGCATCATGCCCTGCATGTGTGCTTACTAACTGGAGCATAAGGTCCTGGGGGTGGGGGTGGGGAAGGAACAAGGACAATGCTTTATAATAATAGTCATTCATTTGTAAGATCTAGAGCAAGAAGAAACACCATTTATTTGTTTGTTTCAAATCTCTTCTCTCCTAAAAACACCTTCACTGCCTACACCTATTTGCCCCCCCTCTACCCCTTTAAGCAGAGAATTTGGCCACATAATTCACTGAAAAAAATGCAGCCATATGATGGATGAGGTTCCCTTGACTCCCCAATACTTCAGATCACCTCAGCATCACTCTCTCCTTTGTTCAAAGGATGAGATGGCCCTTCTCTTTGCCAATGCCAACCCTTTTACTTGTGTCCCTGATCCCATTCCTGTCTGTCCCCTCTCCTAGCAGCTAGTCTCTTTCCATCATCTCCTTGCTTTCCCTAATTTGCAATCTCTTCCTGGGTATACTCTCCTTTGCTGCTGCCTAGAAATGTGCCCAGATCTCCCCCTAGCCTAAAGAAATCTCCATCTGACCCTACTATGGACTACTACCTCAAGCTATCATCCTAGATCTCTCCTTTCTTTCATAGCTATTTTTTAAACAAAAAAACCGTCTACACATGTTACCTCCTTTTCCTCACCTCCCATTCACTTCTCAACCCTTTACAAAATAGCCTAATCTCCACCATGGGACTTAAAATGTTCTTTCTAAAGAATCCCATTGCTGAATTAAATGGACTTTTCTCAGTCCTCATGCTTGACCTCTCTGCAGCCTTTGACACAGTTGACTACTCCTTCCTCTCTGGGTTTCTATGATACTGTGGTCATTCACTTCCTACCTGTCTGAGAGAGCTTACTCAGTCTCCATTGCAAGACCAGCATCTATTACAGACTGTAATCTTCACCTATCTACATCCCACAGCTCTGTCTTGTGCCCTCTCTGCTTCTCTATGTCCTCTCTAGAGGATTTCATCAGCCTCTTCATATTCAACTATTGTCTCTGTACAGATGACTCCTTCATCTTTCTTCTGAGTTCTTGTCCTACATCTCCAAAGGCCTGCTGGCTAACTATACCTAGACTGCATGTCCCACAAGCATTTCAAAATCAACCTATCCAAAACAAGTCTCATCATCTTCCCCTCTAAACCGGCTGTTCTTCTGAATTTCCTTATCTCTAAAGGTACCACTATTCTAGTTATCCAGATTCCCAATCTCAGAATCATTCCTAACTCTTCCATTTCATCCATCCTTCATTTTCTGCTTGATTGCCAAATCTCATCAATTCTGCCTCCTCAACACCCTCTCCCAACTGTTCCCTTCTCTCCATTCCCAAGATCTGCAATGTTTGAAGCTCTCTTCACCTCCAGCTCTTGGAATCCTGTGTACCTCAAATGCTACCTCCTTCCAGAGGAAGTCCCCCAGCTGTTGATGTTTCCGCCCCCATTGAAATAAGTCATTTTATATTTGTTTTGTATATAACTTGCATTTACATATTCATGAATATGTTGTAACTCTTTCTTCCCTTGCTAGAATGTAAGCTCTTTGAGGGCAAGGGCTGTTTAAATTTTTAATTTGTATTCTCAATGCCTAGTGCACCGACTGGCACATAGTAGGTGCTTGATAAATGCTTGTTGCATGATTTATTTGGTTTGGCTTCCTGATTTTGTAGATATGGAAAATTAGTTTCAAAGAAGTCAAGAGACTGACCCAAGATCACATAGCCAGGTGTGAAAGAGCTGTGTTTCAAACCTAGGTCTTTTGACTTCAGAGTCAATTTCTCCCCACTATACCACATTGCCTCTATTCAACAAGTATTTATGGAACTCCCACTATGTGTGCAACACTGTAGTAATTACTGTTTGAGATGTAAGGGAAGTAGAAAGCATAGTTCCTGACCTCAAGAAACCTTCGATCTAGTTGGGGAGTCAAAACACTTACCAGAAACATGTAAATAACTCCAAGGAAAGGATCTGATTATGTCAAAGAGGAGATTGGCCTGGGGATTAACTAGATTGGTTCACCAGTAGAACACCAATCCTTGCTTGGAGGCATGTGAGGGGCCATCTGACCTGGGGATTATACATGTGACCCAGCACCTTGTTTAGAGGACACTGAGAACTCCTAGTTGATTTCCAGTGACTCAGAATGAGGATGAGAGATTGAATGTCAGTGAAACACACTCTTATCTGGAAAGTAATGGGGAGCCATTAAAAGTTTTTGAGCAATAGAGTGACATAACATATGAATAGTCTGTGGGTCCCATGCCCTCTGGACTATTACAGATTGAGGTTCAATTTGCAGGGACTTTTAATGGTTACTTATCTATTTTGGCTTACTTGCCTCCACTTAGTTAAAAACTGGGAATTTATGAACCTGATCTAGGTCAAGGAATACCATTGCTGTTCTTCATGCTACCAGATCCAGGCAAGGAACAGTTTTGAAGTGGTGAAATATTTAATCCAGACAGAAATAAATAGACTGGCAATGAAAACAATGTTAGCACACATTCTGGATTGAAAAACTGCCACACTGAATTGTACATAATAGAGTCAGTGAACATAGACCACTAGAGCTAGAAGCAGGGACGTGCTGGTAAATGTTTTTGTTGTTTTTGTTATTGTTGGCTTTTTGGTGAGGCAATCAGAGTTAAGTGACTTGCTCAGTGTCACACAGCTAGTGTGAAGTGTCTGAAGTCACATTTGAACTCAGGTCCTCCTGACTCCAATGCCAGAGCTCTATCCACTGTGCCACCTAGCTGCCCCTACTGGTAAATGTTTAACAACCAACTCTCCAAAAAAGCAATGAGGACAGTGACATGTTTTTAAATTTAATCTGCATTATCAACATTTTCTCCACTTTCTCAAGTCTAAACAACCCACAAAACAATAGATTAAGATCTGATTCTTATCATTTGCTGATTTCCAGAGTTTAAATGCTCATATTGAAAATTTAGCAATCAGCTTTTGGGAGTGGTTCTAGTTGGATCTAGCATATCCCTTAGTAGAAGGAACCTATAAAACTTTAGAACAACCCCCTTCATTTCATAGATGACGAGTACAATGTCCTTCTCTTCTCCCCCCCTTCCCCAGGGCAGCTTGGAAAACAAACTCCTCCAAAAGTTTCATGACTCTCATAAGACTTGAAGCTCATGAATCTTATTATTTGATAGGGCAAGATGTAGCTGGGTCTCACTGCAGCTGGGGTGAAGAACAGGACATTCATTCAAAATCCAGTGCTGAGGACTAGCCTTGTTTCAGCTCACATCTTGACTTGTCTCAGACAATACTCATTATTCTCACTCTTAGTCAATGCCACTGGAATGTCAGATGCCCCTGAAGTTCGTCCTCTAGGTCTAAACTTCAGCAGACACCTCCATTACTCCTCCAACTTCTTGCAGAGAAAATAGCTTTGGTGGAATCACCTGAAAGTCAAAAACAGGGTAGGGGAAAAAAGTCACGAATAGGCTGGCCCCATCCTCTGAGTCACCAACTACCTCAGGGGTATTTTTGATGTGCAGGACAGATTGATGGAGGAAAGAAACTGGAGACAAGGAGAGCAGTCAGGAGATTATTGATATAATCCAGGCATATTCATTCATAGCACCTAGCATCATGCTGGTTGCATAGCAAATGCTTAATAAATACTTTTTTGTTGATTTTTATATGATTTCCTGAGGTTGTGTGGAAAGAAACAGGACATGAGAGCACAAATAAATTTGTTGTTTAATTTCTTCCAATCTTCCACTAAAGTACCTACCTCTGTTTCTCCTCAGGGTTTTAAGGATATCCTTGATTCTTGGAAGTAGTATACAAACTCTGGAAGGTCTTGCTAAACTGAAAAGGCTTTGAGCTCTGGCCTGGTAATGAACTGCAGGCCCTTCTTCTGAAGACCAGCCCAGCCAGGTTGGTGGAGATTTATCAGTGGGTTGGCTGAGGGGGAGGCGTTTCTTTTTTTGATGCAACAACTCTTGAATTGGATCCACCAAGAAGAAGAAAGGTGACGAATTGTGTCTGTAGAGAGATTACTCACACTAGTGAAAGATCCTTTAAATACCAAGGTAATAGTTTCTTCTACACTTGAGCTTCACTAAGGCTTCTACCCCACAGGTTTTTCTGACAATGGGAAATGCCAGTTCTTGGTGGGGGGGAGGGAATACCTGTTCACAATTTTTAAAAAATGTACCCTTTTAACACTGATCCATTGTCAATTAAGCATGCACAGTTGCCTGCACAGTGAGGCCTCTATGAGACTTTTAGGGGGATAATAGCTAAGGCAATATGGTGCAGTGGACAGGAGAGGTCAATACAATGGGCTGGTCAGGTCAATAAGCATATACTATGTGCCAAACACCGTGATAAGGGCTGGGAGATTCAAGGAAAAGTAAAATGCAGTCTCTGCTCTCAAGGAATTCACACACTAACGGGGCAAAGAACATGCAAGATGTACAAACATGTACAAACAAGATACATATAAGATAAACTAGAGATAATTACCCAGAGAAGGTGTTAGAATTAAGTGGGTTCAGAAAAGGCTTCTCTTAGAAGGCAGGATTTTAGCTGGGACATGAAGGAAGCCAGGGAAGCCAGAAGGCAGAGAAGTCAAGGTAGAGAATTCCAGGCATGGGGGACTACCAATGAAAATGCACTGAGTAGGAAGATGGAATCTCTTGCTTGAGAAACAGCAATGTCACTGGATTTCACATCAATTTGACTGCTGAGTAGAGAATGGATTGGAACTGGGATAGACTTAACGCAGGCTGATCCACCAGCAGACTGTTGTGGTAGTCCAGGCTTGAGGTGATAAAGGCCTTCATTAGAGTGGGGGAGTTGATGAGAGGAGAGAAGGAGGCATATTCAAGAAATGTTACCAAGGTAAACTCAACAGGCCGTGCAACAGCATGGATATGAGAAATGAGAGACAGTGAGGAGTCAAGGATGATATCTAGGTTGTAAGCCTGAGGAACTGAGAGGATGGTGATGTCCTCTATAATAAGAAGAACATTAAGAAAAGCTATTGAGCTCAGTCTTAGGCATGTTGATTCAAGATGTCTTAAAGAAATCCGAGTTTGAGAAGTCCAATAGGCCGTTGGAAATGTGAGACTGAAGGTCAGGAAAGAGGATGGGGTTGGAAAGCATAGCTGAGAGTCATATGCGTAGAGATGATAACTGAGTCTGTGGGAGCTGATGGAGAGCAAAATGGCATAGTGGGAGATGAGAAGGGAGCCCAAGACAGACACTTGGGGCACATCTGCCACTATGGAGTGTGAGCTGGATGAAGACCCAGCAAAAGAGACTGAGAAGCATCGGCCGATAGTGAGGAGAACCAGGAGACAGCAGTGCTGAGAACTCAAGAGAGAACAGAACATCCAGGAGAAGAGGGTGAAGAACACGCCAAAGGCTGTGGAGAGGTCATGAAGGATGAGGATTGAGAAAAGGCCATACATAAGATCGGGCAATAAAGAGATCATCAGTAACTTTAGACTAGGTGTCAGGAGACTTGATTTATATATAGTTAGAGGTAGAAAAGTTCTAGAAATAGTGAAGCCATGGAATAAAGCAATTTTCCTAATTTTTACTAATTAAAATGGATAATTCTGTAACTAATGGGCAATGAAATTCAGGAAAAATAAATTGAAAATAAACAAGATAATTTTGTTTAGGGCACTGCCTAGGAAAATAAAAACGGATCATGTAGAACTTAGTTTGCTAATAAATGTCAGGTTTGGTCTTTCAGTGAAGAAATATAGTTTTATAATCTACTTTGTGGATCTCAAGACCCCAGGGCTGAGAAGAGCCAAGTTTCAGTTTCCTTTCATCTCGTAACACCTGTAGGCCTGGACTTATTGGAATAAGAATGGATTCTGTCCTCAGCCTTTTAAAGAAGCAGAACAAAGAGGTCTTTTGCTTCTCATCCTTCTGGGAATAAAGGGATGCTGCTTCCAATGTCCACCCCACCCTCAGTCCTTTGAGATCTAGCTAGGAGTAGAGGAATTATAGATCAACTCCTGTGTCCAATAAAAACAAGGGAGAGGTCCACAAGCAAAGAATGCATCGAAACCCTTTTTTTTCCTCTTGTGAAAATGGCAATGCCCTAGAGACAGAACACATCTTCTTTTTATATTTGAGAGTCATACTACACCATTTATCTTTCAGGTACAAGAATCAAGATAATCTCATACTATAGGTATATATATATATATATATATATATATATATATATATATATATATATATATATATATATATATGTATGTGTGTATATATATATACATATATATATATACATATATATACATACATATATATAAACATATATATAACACATATATATTATGAAGTCAAATATGTTTCTATATAAGCTATTGTAATTATTACTTGCATAACTTCTGGCACACATTGTTATTGCTATCCAATGACAAAAGGAAAATGTGCATAGTTTTTTGAGACCACATTGTGAGCCTCCTGAGTCTCAGTGAAGACTTTCCTGGAGCACTTCACCAAGGCAAGACAAATTTACCTTTACCGTTTATTTCTCTGACTTAACTGTCTGTCCCAATGCTCGTCATAGTTATCTGACTGGCAGCAGACCTATGATCAGAATCCACAACAATCCACAAAACCATAGGAGATTGTTAGAGCTTGAAGGTCCCAATTCCCTGATTTTACAGATAAGGAGACTGAAGCTTGGATAAGAAAAAGGGACTAATGTAATGTCACAGAGCTACTTAGTGACATTGTGAGTAGGGAGGTGAGGGTGAGGCTTAAGCACAGGTCTCGCGGTCTTCAATTTAGTGCTGTCTGTACTATCCTTAGGAAGCTGGGTCTCCTCAACACCCAGCCTTGCACTCTTTAAGCTAGACCAGGGGCCTCCTGAGTTCCCCATTTTGTCTACCATCGTTATTTTTATTCATGGTAGATCAGAAAAAGGAAGTGAACGGCACCGTGAAATTCGATTCCTCCTCAAGGCCATGTAGCTCAAATGACTTCATCCATCCCAAATACGTGAACGAGGCTAGATACTCTGGCGCCCAGCTCCAAGTATAGACAGATACCATCTGAGCAATTTCCTCTCCCTTTGTGGCCTTGGTAAATCATTGATCACTGATCCTTCCCCCACCAAAAAAAAGTGTCTGGGTGTGTTTGGGGCCAGAGACAGAGATCATAGGAACATAGTAAGGAAGGGAGCAAGTATTTATTAATCACTTACTATGTATGTGTCAAACAATGTGCTAAGCAATTTCAGCAATTATCCTTACAACACTCTGATAGGTAGGTGCTATTATTATCCCCATTTTGCAGTTGAGGAAACTGAGGCAGGCAGAGATTAAGTGACTTCTCATGGGTCACATGGCTAGTGTCTGAGGCCAGATTTGGACTCAGGTTCTCCTGACTCCTGGCCCGGTGCTATCCATTGCGTCACCTAGGTGCTTCTAACATAACATAGAATGTTAGCACTGGGGGGAACCTTAGAGATGATCCAGCACAGAGGTTCTTGGACCCTTTCTCAGAAGAATGTCTTCAAATTCATAAAATAAAATACATAGAATTACAAAGAAAACTAATATTGAAATAGTTATCATATTTGGGGGAAAAAACAAGTTCATGAACCCCCAGGTTAAGAAATTTTGAACTAGTCCAACTCCTCCATTCTATAGATGAAAAAACCGAGGGCAGGTGACGGGAAGGGCCCAGGTTGTATAACAGAAAGAGTTCTGGATATGAAGTCAAAAGAGCCAAGTTCAAGTGCCAGGTCCACCCAGAGCCATGTGCTGTTAGACACGTCACTTGACTTTTCTGAGCCTCAGTTTCCTCATCTGCAAAATAAGCCTGTTGGTGGACTAGATGATCTCTAAGGTCCCTCCCAGCTCCAACATTCTATCTACGCCTCCATGTCCTGACCAAGGTTTGGCCACATGGTAAATAGGGGGACTAGAACTCAGGCATTCTGACTTAACTCCACTGTACGAGCTATCTCCTTAACTAGAAGATTAGCAATATTTTGAGGAACAAAAATGAAGAGGAAGGTCAGTCAATCAATAAGCATTTATTAATCACCTACCACGTACCAGGCACTGTTGCTAAGCCCTGGGAATACAAAGAAAGGCAAAAACCCCAAAAACAAAACAAACAAAAACCAGTTGAGGAGTTCACAATCCAATAGTGGAAACAACATGCAAGCAGCTGTATACTCCCCCCAAAAGATATATGCAAAGTAAACTAGAGATAATCAATAGAGGGAAGGCATTAGAGTCAAGAAGACTCAGGGAAAGTATCTCCTGTAAGATGAAATTTTAACTTGAGACTTGAAGGAAGCCGGGAAATGAATTGGAAATGAGGAGGGAGAGAATTTCAAGCTTGGGTATCATCCATGTATTTTTCCCTGACTGGGTTCTAGAACTTGGGAATCAATGCTAGTTACCTTCTCCAAGAATTAGGATCGCCCGAGGACTATTCTGGGAGGAGGTAACAAGGCCAAATGCCCCATCTCTGAAATTTAATAGAGTAGGCCTGTGACACCTGAATGGAAAAGAAATCATAGGTATAAGTTTATGAATAATATAAGTATGTGAATAATGAATATGAATGTAAGTATAATGAATAATGAACAATAACTCCTGAATATATGATACCTTCCAAAGCACTTGACAGGGAGTACCCCATTTGACCCTCCCAACAGCCCTGTGAGGCAGGTGTTATCTTCAGTTTACCAGTGAGGAAATTAAGGCTCAGAGAGGTTAACTAACTCAGTATACATAGCTAGTAAATATCAAAGGTAAGATTTGAACCCCAGTCCTCCTGACATCAGGTCTACCTCTCTATCCACCATGCCCCACTGTTTCTCAAGCATATACGTGTTATAAAACACTCTATACAAAGAAAAGGCATTACTGTATTTACCTGCTGTACTGCAAACATAGATTAACTAGCAAAAGCCATCAAGATTCTTCAGTGGGGTAAGTAGAGTTAAGGTGAAGTCTGGGATGCATGCCTGGGCCTAGCAGGAGGGAGAGGACAGTAGGTATAAATGGTCTGTGAAGTCCTCCAGGTACCTAGATGACCACTGATCCTATACCAGGCCCCGGTGCTCTGTTAAGGACTAGAAGATAGATGCTTCCCCTCCTTCCTCCTCTCATGTTGGCAGGGAATGATCTCATATGATCTGACCCTATTTCTCAGGGGAGCAAACAGACATGTCCACCTGCTCCTGCCCCCCCCCCCAATCCAATCAATGAACCTGAAAGAGATTTCAGGTCCACAAGAAGATCAGAGCTTGGCAAATTGAGCTTGTCCAATACCTGCATAACCCTCCTGTTTCACTGAAAGATCAATTCCCAAGAGCCTTGGAATTGTGAGACTCAAGCAAGAGCCTAAGAAATCTTCATTATCAGACACTGTTTGCCAACCAGAAAAATGTCACCAGCATGCACGTGAACTCTCTCTCTCTCTGTCCCTCTCCCTCTCTCCTTCTCTTGTTCCTTCCCTCTCTCCCTTTCTCTCTCTTTCAATCAGAAAGTACCCAATGGCTCTAAGCTGCAGTCCCAGCTCTCTTTTCCCTCCTACTTAAAAAACTACATGGTTAGCAGTATGCTTTAATATTCATACGCATTCTGTTCTAGATACTGTGCAAACACAAAAGCAGATAAGGTACCTGCTGGTGAGTTTAAAGCCTGCATTAGATAGCCAGCCAGGGAAATCACAGGCTGACTCTCTAGCCAGGCCATTCAAGGCCTGAGGGGAAACAGTATTGAGTAGAAAGCTGGCCCTGGAGAAAACAGGCAACATGAGAGGAGGAAGGAGGGGGAGCATCTATCTTCTAGCTCTTAACAGAGTTCAGGGGCCTGGGCTCAGCATGGGCATGGGGCTAGAAAAATCAAGATACTGACTTCAAATTACTGCATTGTAAGCTGTCTTCAGGGCCTGTCATAGGATCATAGATTTAAATCTGTTAGGGATGTCAGAGGTTATCTAGTTCCCTTATTTGACAGATGAGGAAACTGAGGCCCAGAGAGGTTAAATGTCTTGACTAAGGACTCACAGATAATAAGAAGCAGAGCTGGCTCCTGAGCCCAGAAGTCTTAAGCACAAGGGATCATCTAGGGACTTGATTGAAGAGAAATAAGAAAGACCTCCTGCTATCTCACTCGGGTACCCAATATGTACCACCCTGCTTTTAACAATCTATTCTTTTGCCTTCAGGTCCCCTTTTAAAAATGGAAATATTTCTGGGAGTGACAACTCATGGCAGAGGGGAAACAGCACCAGATTTATAGATGGGAATCTGGGTTTGAATCTCAGATCTGATACTTAGCATCTTGGTGACTTCAGGCAAATCACTTAACCTCCCCAGGCTTTGGTTTTCTCATCTCTCTAAGTTGTGTGTGTGTGTGTGTGTGTGTGTGTGTGTGTGTGTGTGTGTTTAGGCTGCATGATCAGTAAGGTCCCTTCCAGTTGTAAAATCTAGGATGCTAGGGAGTTACTTTTCACTATGGTGTTACACGACTTAACTATTCTTATTTTCCTTCTACTTCTAGGAGTGTCTGTTCCTTACAGTGAGAGACCCACACAACATCATCATCATAAACAACAACTACAATGGAGAATGAGTGCCAAAGACAAACTTCACCAGTATCAAAATTTGGCTCTCTCCTTAGGGGGGAGAAAAGACAAGTTGGCCCTAAGTTCAAAGATCAATTTTTTTATTTTTTTGCAAGGCACTTGGGGTGAAGTGCCTTGCCCAGGGTCACAGAGCTAGTAGGTGTCAAGTGTCTGAGGCTGGATTTGAACTCAAGTCCTCCTGACTCCAGGGCTGGTGCTCTAGCCACTGAACCATCCAGCTGCCCCTCAAAGATTATTTTTAAAAGGAAATCGATTGCCTTCTTCTTGGTAGAAGGTGTGTTCCCTTTGTTCCTCAGACTTCTATCCATTGTCCCGGGGACCACTAGTGGTAACTTGGTACATCCAAGTTATTAGTGAAATCCCCACCTGCCTTACCTGTATGTGGATTCCTGTATGAGCTCGTGTGGCTAAAAACTCTACCATGCAACCATGGACTATACCTCTCACATCAACCAAATTAACTCACACAAACATGCTATTGGTCACTAGGAAGGAAATATAGAGAAAGTATTAAAATAAACAACCCCCCCCATGAGATTGAGTATTTGCATTTGTGTTATGCATTTGCATGTGTTATACATATTGCTTTGAAAATACCATTTTCTTTTTCTATCATGTGTAATAGAAAAAAAGTAAATGGTATTTTCAATGCAATATGTACCCAGCGCGTACTGCCATATTGTGCAGTTCCATCTAACAGTGCAAGCATTCTATACCTGTGCTCTTCTCTTGAAGTTCTTATTCAGTGGTTTGTACATATTTATATGGTTCTTGGGGGGCAGAATTGGAACCAATTATCAACTGGCTTCTAAAAACACTGAAACACAAATGTATCAGTCTGCTGAGACTGAAAGAAAAGAGACATTTTAAGAAGAATAAAACAAAAGGATAAATGTATTTTATTTTGGAAGCCCATAAAGGTTTTTGTTTTTATTTTATTTATTTTTGCCTTTGAGCAGAAACCAATGCTGCTGTGCACCAAGCATAAAAACCCATGCCCATTTGTTTAAAAAAATAGTAGAAGAAAAAGATGTGCCCTCCAGAACTTTACTGACTTTCTGGGGAGAAAAGGCATACACACGTGAAAGAAATAATACTGAGCAATACAACAGACCTCAATACTTCAGTTGGGTCTGTGATCTCTTCAATGTAGGTGCTCTTACTATCAATGCAGAACCTATCCCATCCAAGTCTTCTCATCCTGTGCAATTCTTGTCCACATTCTTAAAAAAAATCCTCCATAGACAATCCACTCAATAGCTGAAGACATTCCTCTAGGAGTTTTTACCTTTTATGAGTACTAGTGTGACTCTGGGGTTTTCCATCTGTTATCTCTCACTCTAGCTATATTACCTACCCACCCTATTTCCTCATTATGTTATTTTCTATTTTTGTCTTTTTTTTTTTTTGAGATGGGCTCTCCCTATCTCACCCAAGCTGAAAGACCAAAGTCCACTAACAAGTCTAGTCCCAATGCTGACCATCACCAAAGCCTTGACTTGCTTCATTTCTGACCTGGCAGCCTTAGGCAGCCTGGTGGCTGGCCATCCTCCCTCCCCTGTGAATGTGCAGCATCTTTTTAGTACCAGACTTAGTATGGACTTAGCACACTGCAGCTCGGAACTCCGGAGCTCAAGCAATCCACCAGCCTCAGTTTCTCTCAGTAGCAGGGATTACAGGCATGCTTATCTCTTATGATCTTTAGTACAATAATCATGAATTGCTAAGCTGTGTGGTACCCCACAGAATGTAAAATTAGTAATTTTACATTAGTAATTCAAAGAAGGAAGACCATGTTGGCTCACAAAATTTCACATCTGGAATATGAAATATGAACATTATTCCTCACTTTATATATGAGTAATTTCAGGAAAGGCTTGGTTTGGTCTTTGAAAGGCAGGATGGATTTAAAGAGAAGATGGGGAAGAGAGTTTATAGATTGGTGAAAGCATATGAGGAAGATGAGAACATGTATAATACCTGCCACAGAATAATTTGGGTCTAAAATCAAGAAGATTTGGCTGGATTGAATAGAGGTACCTTCAACAATCCCAAATGATACAAAATTTTCCCCCTGATGCTCTCTTCCACATCAATATTCTCCCAGTGATGCTACATGGTTGTGAATTATGGAATGCAATGACTTCTGTCAATTAACAAAGATTTCTTTATTGAGGTATATGAGGTGTTCAGGGAGGACTAGCATCTCTGGCGTGATAGCTCACTGAGCCCTTTTTAGGGCTGCTCATCCACCTTTGGTGCCCATCTGATTTACCCAACTGTCTTCTATGGCTCCAAGAAGTTGTAGCATGCATGGCGGCCTCACCCTCATCAACCATCTTGGCAGACAAGCTAAACCAGGTTGAGGGTAACCAACAGGCCACAAACCCGTTGGTGAGTTAGGAGGATGTCTACCCCAAGCATGTGAAGACTTTCCCTGGTAGAATGGGCAGAAGAGAACAATTTGTTCCAAAGGCTATGAAGGCAGCTGAAGTAGGCACTGTGGAGCACTTAGAGATTGGTCAGGCAACGAAGACACCAGGGTCATCCACTGCATCCCAGGCCATCGACATGTCCTGTCTTTTGTATTGCCATTGGACTTTAATGACTGTGCTATAAGAAATGATGAGCTCGGTGATTTTAGAAAAACATGGAAAGACTTGGACAAAATAATGAAGAGCAAAATAAGCAGAACCAAGAGAATATTATACACAGTAATAGCAACATTGTTTTAAGAATGACTTTGAGAAAATAAGTTGTTTTGACTATTATAAATACCCAAATTAACTATAAAGGACACATAACGGAAGACTCTATCTGTGTCCAGAGAAAAAAAAATTGATAAATAGAAGTATGTATAGAATAACTTTACTTATATATGCCTATTTGTGTCTAATGATGGCCATCTCTAGGGCAAGGTGTGGGGAGGGAAGAAAAAAATGTACATGGTAACTTTATCATATATTTTTAAAGAGTCACAAGTTATACTGGCAGCATAACTTCGCAGTTTTATGTGCAATCATCTTTTATTATATTATGTTATGGAAATGCTTGTTTTATTCCACAAATTAAAAATAATTTTTTAAATAAAATATCACCAATGATGTCATTGGTCCTCTTTGAAAATGAACGGCAAACAAAAAGCAACAACAAAGATTTGTTAAATTAAACTTCTACTACACAATGCCAAGCATTATGCTAAGCACCAGGGATATAAAAAGAGACAAATGATAGTCCCTGCCCTCAACAAGCTCACAATCTAACAGTGGAGACAGGAAGCAAACATGGATGTACAAATAAGTTACAAATGCAAAATAAAATGGAAATAATTAACAGAGGGGAAGCACTAGAATTAAGAGGAGCTGGGAC